TTATTTATTTATTTGACAGAGAGACACAGCGAGAGAGGGAACACAAGCAGGGGGAGCGGGAGAGGGAGAAGCAGGCTTCCCTCGGAGCAGGGAGCCCGATGTGGGGCTCAATGCCAGGACCCTGGGATCATGACCTGAGCCGAAGGCAGATGCTTAACAACTGAGCCACCCAGGTGCCCCCACCAAAATTTATTTTTTTTAAAGATTTTATTTATTTGAGAGAGACAGAGCACGAGAGGGGGGAGGGTCAGAGGGTGAAGCAGACTCCCCGGTGAGCAGGGAGCTCGATGCGGGGCTTGATCCCAGGACCCCAGGATCATGACCTGAGCCGAAGGCAGACGCTTAACTGACTGAGCCACCCAGGCGCCCCAAATGAGCAAAATATTTTAAATGACAAACATTGCTTTGGGCGTAAAACATTATTTAATCTTTCTGAGGGATTGTATGACCAACTGTAGCAAGTGTTATGAAATAGTTCACATTCTGGAGCCATTTTAGAAATAACAGGAGAAAAAATGTGTATGGGGAGGTGGTGGAAAAAAATACAGGAAGCTGCTCTTGCAAAGGTTATAGCAAGGGAGAATTGGGAACAGCTAAGCAAATAAAGCACATGAACTCTGTCAGGGTATGGATTATGTTCATAGAACAAAGCTCCATGAAGAAACCAGGGCCATAATCATGGAGAAGCTGAGTCCAGTCTAGACTCTAGTGTGAAGATGGAAAGATGAGTTGGGGTAAGAGGGGTTTGGAGCCTAATCTTCATCTGATTCCTTTTTTCCCCTTACATCCTTTGTCTTTACATCTCTTTAAATGGGGGATGATAGAGGGGATATCTTTGAACTAAACAGATTTTCAGATACAGATCAGGACAGAATTTTTAAAAATCTGATACTTGGAATATTTGTCAAATTTTTTCCCACTATAGCAGCACCATCCTTTTCATGGTGTTCAGTAGGGAAATGGGATCTTACAATGACTGACTAAGTGACAACAAATTGAGTGCAAACTGAGTGCAATTATGACCAACTTTTCTAATTGATTTATTTATGATGCCTAGCCAATACTCTTAAGATCCATAGCTCATTAATCCAGATACAAAAATATAACGATCCAGTCTGCTTGTTTTATTTCTCAGCTTTGCAAGTCCTCAAGAAACGGGGATAGAATGAAGCGACACATCCTTGCCATAGAGTTCTGAGGGAAAATGAGGGTGAGATCTCTGCCTTAGGGGCATCTTAGGGTGCTAATTCATACAAGGATTTATTAAGCATCAGCCATGTACTTCTTCCTCTGAGGTGTCATCAGTACATGTGCTCTCTTCACCCTTGGCTTACCAATATTTAGGTACCCAGCTTATTTCTGCTACCATTCCATAGGCTCTTTGGGCACAGGCACTCTTCTCTTTGTTATATTACCCACAGCAGCTGGAACCCAGTAGGTGTTCAATAATGACCATTGAGTGTACAGATTCAAGATACAAGGCTGGGAGCCAGAAGAGAGATGCAAAGTGTTGGGCATTCACTGAGTCCCCTGGTCACCCACCGGACAGATGGTCAGAGGATCCATGTTCTTCCCTCCATCATGTGTTCCAGGGCTGAACATAGGCTGAAGGGGCCCAGAAGAAGAGAAACTGGTGAATGTGTAGATGAGGGATTTGTATGTTACATTGTAAAAGGAAATGTCTCCAGCCTTGTAGTCCAGGAAGATGCCCACACGTCTGGGGGGTTCCTTTATCTGCAAGCGTGTTGGGGGAATGGTGGACACCTGGTACTCATTCCGCTTCATCATCATCACCACCCAGTAGCCATTGTCGGGTGATAGAGTCATGCTCCCTTTCCTGCTCGCGGATGCCTTGCAGATGCCCAGGATCCACCCTGTCTTGTTTCCCACCTCCACTTCCCAGTAATGGCGGCCAGAGAGGAAGCTTGGAAGGCCTAGGGCGATGATGCAACTATCAAATCTTGCTGGATTATCAGGCAGACGATTCCACTTGTTTCCAAGTTTCACACTCTTCAGGTTATTAGAGAAGATGAGGTTGGGATGGGCAGTTTCTGCATCCAGAATCACATTAACTGCAGAAAGAATTAGAATACCTAGCTGGGGGGTCCATGGGCAGTGTACCCACAGGGTTCTCCCCACCTCCAGGAAACATGGATAGGGACAGTCTTCTGGAATGCACTAGAGTTCAGCACAGGTACCCAGCAGGGAAGTCCACTTGCCTTAGTCTGGGCACTTACCGGCATGTGCCTGAGCGCAAATCAGTTCTGGAACTACAGAGAAAAAGAAGATGTGGGGAAAAACCTGAGTATTCCAATTCAGAGAGGCTAAATGTACCCTGGTCACCACAACAAGGAAAGACAAGGACCCCTACCCCAGCTCAGGACCTTGCTTCCTTTGCTTGGATTAACCCCACTCCTCCTAGACCCTGGAGACTGCCTTGGTGACTCTGTGGTCTGATGAGTTGACCCAGCCAACAAGTCCAGCACAGAGCCTATGAAGGCTTTCTTCTGCCTTTGTTACAGGTGTTTTCCTCTCTTCTAAATAATGCCCAGAAATCAACAGTGTAGGGAATATCACAGTAACCCCTGGCAAGCACATTCTGCCATCACCATACTCACCATTAAAGGTGTCCATTTCTGAACGCAGGGTTTCTAAAAGAAGAAAGGGAGCTTGAGTTAGGTTCCCCATTTAGGGACAGATCAGGAAGAGGCTGAAGGTAGCGTCAGAAAGGCCATGGGAGATGGAGAAGGGATGCCAGAGGGGTTTGGGCTACATGGACATCAGGGAGGAAGTGAGCAGGTGCCTCCCCTTTTCCTCCAAGCCCACCTACCCAGGAAGGACTTCATGCTCTTCTCCACAAACTCTGATTTCTGGTAGATGAAGTGGATCTTTTTTTCCACCTCTGGAGGAGTGTTCCATGGCTTAGGAACAGTCGCCATCTTGACCCTAGAGACAAAAGACTGCTGGCCAGAGAGGGCTGGTGCATGGGGATAGCCCAAGTTTCCATGAGGTGGAAATAAGGTGCAGCCTCCACAGGGGACACCCAGCCCACTTGGGCTTGGCAAAGAAAGTCCTCTCTGGACTCCGAGTTTTTCACACTGGTTCTCAACTTTGGCCACAGATTGGCATCACTTAGGGAGTTATAAAAACCACTGATATCAAAACCACAGTGAGTTTTAATAGTGGCCTTAAAATGGTGCTAATATTGAAATGCTCAGCCTAGAATTATCTATGTCAAATTAATTATACTTCTTTAATCCTTTTCTGTTGAAATAAAAATGACAATAAGAAAAAAACCACAGTGAGATATGACTCATTAGGATGGTTATTATTATTTTGAAAAAATCAAAATGACAGGTATTGGCAAGGATGTGGAACAGTTGGGACCCTTGTGCATTGGTGGTAGGAGCGTAAAATGGTACAGACACTGTGGGAAATAGTATAGTGGTTCCTCAAAAAACTAAACATAGAATTACCATATGACACATCAATTCCACTTCTAGGTATATGCCCAAAATAATTGAAAGCAGAAGGGCGCCTGAATGGCTCAGTCGTTAAATGTCTGCCTTCACCTCAGGTCATGATCCCAGGGTCCTGGGATCGAGTCCCACATCGGGCTTCCTGCTCGGCGGGAAGCCTGCTCTCCCTCTCCCACTCCTGCTGCTTGTGTTCCTGCTCTCGCTCTCTGTCTCTGTCAAATAAATAAAAATCTTTAAAAAAATAATTGAAAGCAGAGACTCAAACAGATATATGTACAGCAATATTCATAGCAGCATTATTCACAATAGCCAAAAGGTGGAAACAACCCAAGTGTCCACTGATGGATGAAAGGATAAACAAATTGTGGTATATACATACAGTGGAATACTACTCAGCCTTACAAAGGAATGAAATTCTGACACATTCTATAGTGTGGATGAACCTTGAAGACATTATGCTAAGTGAAATAAGCCAGACACAAAAGCACAAATACTGTATGATTCCACTTATATGAAGCAGTTAGAGTAGTCAAATTCATAAAGACAGAACATAGAATGGTGGTTGCCATTCCTTGCTTCCTGGGTGAGGGGGCAATAGGGAGTTATGTTTTAATAGTATGGAGTTTCCATTTGGGAGGATAAAAAAGTGCTGCAGATGATAGTGGTGTTGGTTGTACAATAATACGAAGGTACTTAATGCCACGGAACTGCACATTTAAAAATGGTTAGAGTGGTAAATTTCATTTTATATGTATTTTACCACCAAAAAAAGAAAAAAACAAAAAAGTTTATGCTAGGGTCACGCTCTTAAAGATTTGGATTTAATTTGTGTGCCAGGGCCTGGATGTCAGGATTTTGTAAAGCTCGTGGGGTGATTTTAATGTCCAGCCTCCTCCCTTCCCTCCCCTTCCTTCCCCTGTCTGGGCTTAGCATCTCCACTCCTAGAAAGTGCTTCCCTCCCCGAGACCACAAGCACTTGTGGCCTCGGGGAGGGAGGCACTTCTGCAGGAACAGTTTTCATGAGGCAAATTGCAATCTTTAGGGAGGTTTCTTAGGAACCATCATTAGCACGATAAGCTGTGTTCGTTCTTTCCAGTCTTCAGCCCATGCTCTCTCTCCTGATCACACTCCCATTTTTCCTACACAAATCCAGAAAGGCCTTAGGAAGCTGCAGGAGATAGGAGGAGCCCAGGAGTTGTCACAGACCCGGGGTTGGGAGCATCTCCCTCCTAGGGATGCCTCCCCCACTGCTTCCTGCAGGATACCCAAGGGAACACGAGGGGACCTCTCGGTACCTGTGCAGGGTGACTCCGATGTCCTAGGAGAGAAAAGAGGGAAGCTCTCCATTACCAGTCTCCTAGGGGCTGCACTGACTCCTGGTCTTTCCTCCTGGGCTCACAGCCCTGGGGTGTCAGCAAAACTGGGGCATCTCTCCCCCATTCTAATTTTCATCACCCAAAATGGCAGCCTGGTGGGGCTTGCAACAGAACTGCACCCAAACCCTGCTTTTCTCTTCTGGGAGATGCCAGGGGATCCCTTGAAAGCTGGGCCACCCTGGGCTCCTGACAGCTCATTAAAGGGGTCTGGGCACAAGACCTTTGTCTTGTACTGACTTGGGCAGAATTAATGGCAGTGCTGGGAGCCCATGTCATCCTACTGGGCACAGCGGGCAGGGGAAGCCACACTCACCTGCATGAGCTCCCATTCCGGCTGGTACTGTTTGGCCTCCAGCTCCCCAATCAGCTCGTCAAGAAGGGCAATGTCTCTGGACACTTGGGTGCTATATTTCTCCCTGACCTGGCCAATGGTCTGGTTCAGATCCTCTATTGAGGCCACAAAGAGCTTCTCTTGCTCCTCCAGAAGATGGTACAGCTGCTCCAACTGGTGCCGGAGTCTCTGCTTCTGGGTTTCAGTTTGTTTCTGGGGGAACAGAAAGGTGTAGGGGTCTATGCAGTGTCCTGATGTGTGTGCCCAGGGAATCCCAAGAAGCCCACCTCCTGGTGGTGGCTAAGAGGCTGGATCCCTCAGCTTCTTGGGGGACTAGATTTCCGAGAAGGAAACAAAATGGGCCAGAACCTTCCAGAACAGGCTGAAGGTGGCAGGGACTGGCTCTTGTAGAATGCCCTAAAACTTAGTATTCTGGGTTGATTTGTATCTCCTCCAAAATTTATGTTAAAGTCCTAACCTCTAGTACCTAAAGAATATGATCTTATTTGGAAATAGCATCATTGCAGATGTAGTTAGTTAAGATGAGATCATACTGGAGTAGTCCACTGGAGTGGGGAAGTTAGGACACAGACAGGGAGAACACCATGTGACGAAAACACAGGGAAAAGATGACATCTACCAGCTGAAGGGAGAGGCCTGGAAGATGTCTCCTTCCTGGCCCTCAGAAGGAACCAGTCCTGCCTACATCTTGACTATGGACTTCTGGCCTATAGAATTGTGAGAGAATACATTTTTGTGGTTTAAGCCATTCAGTCTGTGGTACTCTGTAATGGCAGCCACAGGACACTAAGATATCTGCTGTCATCTTTTTCCTTCCTTGAAAGCCAGTGTGAGGATGACATTTGCCTGGGGTTGTAAATGGACAAGGTTATGACTACCAAAGTGTCCAGGAAGGAGACTTCTCTCTACTTCCCACCAAAGTGCTGGCATGCAGAAGGTCCTCAATGTGGCTCTGAATGAAGGCAGTCAGTCCATTTATGTGACTGTAAGTGAACTTGACTTCTACTACCATTGCACATAGGTCAGCCATCTGGCCCATGTTCTATCCAGAGTTTCTGTGGAAAGGTGAAGTGGCTCTAGGGAACCTTCTCCTTCCTCCATGGAGGGAGAAGCCCCTTCGAATCTTCTAAGACTGGACTTATGAAGTCTCATCATTTTGAGCTCTTTAGTCCTTTTGAACCAGAAATGTTTCCTCACCTTTTGTTGTTGAGGGTGCTAATGTTGGCTTTTTTTCCTTAAAGAGGACAGGTCAGTTGTCATGTTCAATGGCCTATGTTCTAAAATTGTCTGGTAATTTTGCTCGTGATTAAATTCAGGTTAAGCATCTTAGACAAGAATACCATATTCTTAATGCGCTGGGCTCCCTAGCACAGCCCATGGGGAGGCAAAGAGTGTCCAGTTTGTCCATCACCATTATTGTGATACAGAGATCAGTCACTTGGTTGAGGAGGGGTCTGCCACATCTCTCCAGTGTCAATATATATTATTTCCTTTATAATTATTAAGTAATTGGAGGAGTGGTACTTAGAGGATGTCAATATCCTGTTCTGTTATGATCTTCTGTGAAAAATTTTAGCATTTTTTGATGATCTTTTTTGGTGTTGATTGTTATACTGGTGTTTGTATAGTGGAAAATTTCCTTTTTGAGATTTTTTAGAAGTTTTTATTTATTTAAGTAATCTCTGTAACCATCTTGGGGCTTAAACTCACAACCCTGAAATCAAGAGTCGTGTACTCTCTGACTAAGCCAGCCAGGCACCCCATAACCATTCTTCCATACTTGTTTTAGCTGACATTGTGCTATAAAAAGGAGTTTCCCCTCCCCCTTCCATATGATTAAAAAATTATATATATATTTTGACTATTGAAAGGAGGATGAGCAGAAGTCTTGAAAACAACATCACCTTTCCACGGGGGCTCATGTCACTGTGAGTGTCTTAAGGGAAGACCAGACCTTCTTGTCTCCCTGAGTTTCACTGTGGCCCACGCTTCTGCCTCACCATCATGGTGGGGGGCATCCCTGACCTCTGCTTCACCACAAGCTCCAAGCCACCTGGTATTATAGGAAAGGTGTTTTCTTTTTTAGAAAGAGAGAGAGAAAGCTGGTGAGTGCAGGGGAGGGGGAGGTGATGATGGGAAGGGCAGAGGGAGAGGGAGAGAAAGAATCTTAAGCAGGTTCCACACCCAGTGTGGAGCCCGATGCAGGGCTCAGATCTCATGACCCTGAGATCATGACCTGAGCTGAAATCAAGTCATACTCTTAACTGACTGAGCCATCTTGGCGCCCTAGAAAGGGGTTTTCTTTTACTACACTTCATGAGTTTCCCAAAAGTTAGACACCTGGACCAACGCCATGCCCGCTCTCATTCCTGCCCTTTGTTATCTTTGCCTGTTTCCCATTGTGGTTTGGGAGATGGGATCCAGCCAACAGAAATGGGTCAGACAATTTAAGGCTTTTTGGGGTAGCTGAATTTGCTTGCAGGGAAAATGGAAGCAACTTTTGTGTCCAGGTTCAACAGAGGAAGGCCAACAGTGTATTTATTGAAATCCGTGGCATCACAAAATGACAGTTTTAAAGAAAATGTCTAACCATTTGAATTTTAAAATTCCATATTTGAAAAAAAACAAAATGGACAACAATTATAAAAAACGATACAAAGGAGTATTTAAAATGGAAAAGTCTCTCCTCCCATTTCCTCAATCCCATCCCTCAGCGACAGCCACTGGTGTTAATTTCTCTAAACCATTTTGTAGTGAATATGAGAAAGCACAGGCTCCTCAGAGATTTCCTTCCATGCTGAGGGTGAGTCTCCCTCTTCAGGGACAAGCTCATCCTTGGACTCCTATTACCTCCCTGCCCCCTGAAGAGCAGGTGATTCTACATAGGTGATCAGTTCTGCTTCTCTATGAACCAGAACATAATTTGGGGACCCCCTGCTCACTTTTGGCCCCCTCCCTCCTTTTGCAGGGGTGAACTCAGGCAAGGATTGGCCACAGAACACCCCAGACCTTACCAGGAATTTCGCAGTCTTCTTATCCCCCTGAGATCTCTGCTCCTCCCCAGATTTTCTCAACTCCTTCAGATGCTCCAGCTGCTTTTGAATTTGCTCCTGGAAAAGGGGCACTTGTTGAAGCCTAAACTTGGCCTCTGCCATCTTTAGTTGGTGCCAACTCTAGAGGGAAAAAATCTGCTTTAGGGAGTAAAGCTGAGGGTGCTGCAGCCAAGAGCACAGGGATGGTGCCCAGGAAAGAGGAAGAATGAATCCATCACACCAAGGGAAGCAGATCCAAGAGGTGGTGAGAGAGAGATTCTTAATGACATGTGGGCACCTGGATTTAGTAATACCTGAAGCTAGTGCCCTTGGATGTCAGCTACATGAACCAGTAAATTCCCCCTTTGCTGGTCTGGTTTATATTGTGTTTTTGCCACTTACAGACCAGGGATGCTGACTAATGCACCAACATCCCAGGGTTGGGAAATAAAGTAGCCCTGACTACTTTTTTTTTTTTTTTGAAGATTTTATTTATTTATTTGAGAGAGAGAATGGGAGAGAGAGAGAGAGCATGAGAGGGGGGTTGGGTCAGAGGGAGAAGCAGACTCCCTGCTGAGCCAGGAGCCCGATGCGGGACTCGATCCTGGGACTCCAGGATCATGACCTGAGCCGAAGGCAGTCGCTTAACCAACTGAGCCACCCAGGCACCCAGCCCTGACTACTTTTAAAAACCCCTCCCCACCCCACGCCCAAGAAGCCCTACCTTGTATTCCAGGGCAGCCTCTTCGATGGGGCGCACCCAGTGGCCTTGATGTTCCTGACTCAGCCTGCAGATGAGGCAGATAGGCTCCTTATGGTCCTCACAGAAGAGCAGCTGGACCTGCTTCATGTGTCGCTCACACTGTGGCAAGGACTTGGGACTCAAGCTGGCTATCTGCAGGCCTTCTTGATGCTTGTAGTCTTCAGAGTTATTTACTGTGAGTGAGGCCAGGCTTAGGAAGCTGCTGGGTGAGCATTTGCCTGAGGTCTTAGGATACCTAGAAGTAATGGAGTATCTGCAGGAATCATCTCCTTCCTGGGCACGGCAAAGGGGATACACAGCCTCATCCTGTGGCTTCCCTGGGGACATAGCAGTGGAAAAATTTCCTGAGTGACAAACCCAAAATGTTATGAGGGGGTGCTACAAAACACAGAAGAGAGAAATAGAGAGCCCATGCCTGGGACACACAAGTTCCTGGTTAGACTGTGGCAACTTCTAACTTGTCCTCCCCTGACTTCGCTCCAGCAAGGTAGCAAACCACCCAGCAAAAGTGAGGGCAAAGGGCTAGATCTCATGACAGTCCTGAGACTTGGAATTCCTGGATATTTATCCTAAAGAAAAGCCTTTTGTTATAAATTCTATGCCTTCCTCCCACACATATACAGATCTAGCAGGTGATATAAAGGCAGTGAGACGTTCTGACCAGTGTTTGCTTTGCCACTTAAAACCAACCAGGCTGCTCATGACTCGAGTGGGAGCCCCCTGGGGACAGTGATTCACTCATAGCCTGACCCCTAGCAGAGTCCCTGGCACATGGTAAGGATTTGAGAAGTGTGTGTTGAATGAAAGAACTAAAGGGACCTCTCCTCACATCCAGGTTCATGAAGAATTAAATGGAAGTAAGGAAAGGGACTTGACTTTATAAGGATGAAGGGTATAATCCACCATGATGACAAACAGCCATGACTAGCTGTGCCCCAAGACCATAGCACAATTTCATAAAGCAGAAATGACAGGAGGTACAAGAAGAAACAGAGACCCACTCAATTCATTAGTCCCCTCCCACCACCTCTCACGAGGTCCCAGGAATTCATATCACATCTGTAAGTGAGACTGTGGGAGGCCCCCCCAGTAACCATTCTCCCCTCCTTCCCTTATGATAGAATTGATTGCTGCCCATCAATTGATGGCTGCTTCCCTCCCCACCCCCCCCAAAAAAAACATTTCTTGCAGTTAGGTGTGGCTGTTTGACTACATTCTGGCCAAAGGGATATAAATGAAGGCATCATGAACAGCTTCTAGAAACTTCTGGAAACTTTCCCTAAGTGATACTCTTCTCCTTTGTCCTTCTATCCTGCTGCTTGGAATGAGGATGCCACCCTCTGAGACCATGAGCTTGAGAGCAAATTTTGTGGAGCAGAAAAACAGCAGGAGCCTGGGTTCCTGGCCCATAATGTACCACATCTGTTCTGGACCATCTGTGTTATTTATGTGAAGGAGAAACAAACTTCTGTCTTGTTTCAGTTAGCGTTATTTTGGCATTTCTGTCATCCACAACCCAACATAATCCCAATTTCTGCCTCCTTAGTAAAAGAGATTTAGGATTTTAGCCAACAGGTCTCCTCCCTGCCCAGAGAGGTGAATGGCAGAATCTCAGTCCCATGACATACTGCCATGGGGTCATTGTGAGAAGCAGGTATTTTTACCCAGTCTTTCCCAGATGCTCAAGCTGGGGTCCATGAATTCCTTGGAATTCTAACGGATTTCAGAGTATCTAAGAACTTGAACTTTGATGCAACATTTTATGAAGATGTGTGTATGTGCGTTTTTTTTCAGGATTCACAGCCTACCTCAGATCCCAGGGGGCACCCAGGGATCTGGTGTTGTGAGGAAACACCTGCACAGGTCACCATTCCTAAGGATACCAGGTTTTCTGAGTTTTGGGGTCCTTTCTTACCTGAAGAAGGAGGGACTTCTGGACCTGAAGCCTGGTGGAGCTCACTGCCTACCACCTCCCTCAAGGTCTCAGAAGGTTCTTGACCCTCAGTTCCATTTTTCTTTGAAGGTCCTGTAGATTCTGGATGCTCCCAGGTCGTCTGGTCTCCAGAGAGTGATACATTGGAAAGTGTATTCCTGAATACTCCCCCCTTCAGGATCATGGACTGTTCTGGATTCTTGGAGCCTTTCTCTGGAGCCACAGTAGCACCTCCATCCAGAGTGGCCACTTCACTGGGGGTGGCTGCTGAGTCTGGATGATCACTTCTCATTTTCTCTTGAGGCAGAAGAGTTTCTGGATTGGGGGGTTCTCTCTCTCCCAAAAAAATGGTAAATTCAAGACTTCTGGGTCGCTTCTGCTCTGAAGGTAAATGTTCTTCAGAGATCCTGGATTTTACTCTTCCTAGGGACCCAGTAACCGACCCACAGGCAACTTCTTGGAGGCTTCCTGAAGAGCTGACATTCCTGCGTAGCTTGAAACTAGGAGTCCATTTCTCCACCTGTGGCTTGCCAGAGAGTGGGCTTCTCCTGGAGGACAGAGTCACGCTCCTGGCCCCTGGCTTGCCCAGCACATCCAGGCCCTCAGAGCTCTTCTGACCTCTCCATTTGCCCTGAGGCTTCTTCTGGGGCCCCCTTCCAGCCTCATGCTGGCTGGATGGCAGGCTGAGGGCCCCATCACCACTTTGCCGCTGCCTATCACCTTCCAGGCCATCTGATATCCTCAGGCCCTTGGGCTTATTCTCCCCAGAGGAATAAGACATTGTTGAATTGTTTGGGCCACTTTCTTGTATCAGATACTCTGCAAAGACAACAGGATGCAAAGGCATGAAATTGTGCAGTGTTCAGGGCCAGGGGTTGGGAGAGAAGGGAGAGAAGGAAAAATCCCCTCAGAAATTATAGAAGTTCAGAATGTTCTAGGCAACAACAGTCAATTACCCTTAAATAAGAAAATGCTAATTATTTGTTATATATTTCTCAAATAATGCTTTTCAAACTTCTTTGGCAGGAGAAGTTGTTTCCAGTATAAAGTCTTACACAAAATTCTTAATTCATAAAATAAATAAACCCCTAGTTTACTGGTATAAATGTGTGTGTGATTATAGGTGTATAAAACTCATAAAATCCATCAATAAAGAAGAATTAAGGTATTTGGCACAAAAATTTGAAAACAGATTTTGAAGGACAATTAAAACTTCAGAAACTAATTTACTTCTGTTTTATTCTTTGGTTTCACGATGTGAAGAAAATCCTAACACACAGGTAAGTAAGTGTAAATGGAGATTTTTTTTTTTTAAACAGCTTGCTTGGTTGGAAGTTTCAGGATACAGTTTCATTAAACAGAAATGACAGGAAATGCTTAATTCCAAGGTCTACATAAAAAGGAATTCAAGTACAGCACAAACTATCACCTGGTGGCCTCTAGCATTTCAAAATTTGGTTAATGACACATTTTATTTTATTTTTTTGTTAAAAGATTTTATTTGTTTATTTGACACAGAGAGAGAGACAGCTAGAGAGGGAACACAAGCAGGGGGAGTGGGAGAGGGAGAAGCAGGCTCCCGGCTGAGCAAGGAGCCTGATGTGGGGCTCGATCCCAGGACCCTGGGATCATGACCTGAGCCAAAGGCAGATGCCCGATGACTGAGCCACCCAGGCACCCCTAATGACATATTTTAATATGAATTTGTTGGTTTTGTAAATTAGAAAAATTAATAAAATTTGGATTAAGTGTTTGTTAACATTCTAAAGAATCCCTGAAATATCTTCCTTGCATGTAACTTGAAAACCACTAGTCTGATAAAGAAATGAAGATACCCTGTAATCAGCACTTTAATTTGTGGTAGAAGAGGCTCTTATTAAAATTGCTTCAGAGTTGTTTAAAACACTTTGCTGTTGCAAACACTTTGCTTCCTAGGAAAATGTTAAGTTCCCCGAACTGGCTCAAGAACTAATGGGAAAGCCCTAAAGATGCTAATAACCAGGTTTTATTGTTTCTGGTTTTTTAAAAAATTTATTTATTTGTCAGAGAGCGAGAGAGAGAAAGCATAGCAGGGGAAGCAACAGGCAGAGGGAGAAGCAGGCTCCCTGCTGAGCAAGGAGCCCGATGTGAGACTCGATCCCAGGACTCCAGGATCATGACCTGAGCCGAAGGCAGATGCTTAACCAACTGAGCCACCCAGGTGTCCCAATAACCAGGTTTTAAAACATGAAAAGGTAACTTAAAAATTCTACTCATCAAATTACACTGGACTCAGATTATGGTTTAGTCTTATCAGTCTTTCAAAGAGTGGAGAAATTTTATGTTATTTAAACGTTTACTTCAGAAAAATACATGGAGGCCACATTCGTTAATCACAGTGGGATAAAATCAGGAAGTTACAGCAAAACAGGAAGAGAAGAAGGAGGAGAAGAAGGAAGAAAAACAAGGAAAGAGAAAAGATGAAAGAAAGGAAGGAAAAGAATTGAGAATTTTAGAATACCTTTGTGAAATGTGTCAAAGAAGAACTCAAAACTGAAAACAGGTGGATTTCAATGTGAAGATTACTGGTCCACCCAGCTGATATGGTCAGTTAGCAAGCCCTTTTTTTCTGTCCTGAAGATACTGGTCTGTACATAGGGGTTAATCAAAATGAAGTTAGGGCCCCTCTAAGATCAGGCATCTTAGCTCTTGCTCTCCTGATTCTGCCCCACAGTGAGAATCTCAGCCTCCCTCACCCTTTTTTAAAGCCACTGGGAGCCTTAGCTGTACTAACCCAACTCCAGAGACCTAAGCAGCAGAAAGGACTTGCTCGGCCAGAGTCACTGGGGTCATGGTAGACCTGGGACTCCTAACCCCCCAAGTCACAACACAGTGGTCTAAACACAAGTTCCCTCTTGCACCTTCTACCCCACTCCATGAATAGCCAGCAGTCACACTGGGAGAGGAATGGGGCATGGGGCCTGTTTACCTGGGTTGATGGCCCTGTCAAGCTCCTCTGCCAGGAAGTTCTGGTTGATGGCCCTCAGGACTTGCAGGGTCAGCCTCACAGCATACTCTTCCCCAAAGTGGGTGATCATCAGAGTGGCCAGCTTCACTGGCCTGGCATTCTGGACCTGGCCCCAGGGGATCCGGGAGTGATCCTTCTCCAGGCTGTTCTTCAGCTTAAACTTGAACTTCTCAAAGTCACTGGGCACCAGCGACTCCAGGGAGTCCAGCACATGGTCACTGGGGGTCTTGATCATGGTGTTGACCAGGAGAGGCCAGAGCCAGCTGTCTGAAACAGCCTCTGCCCTGGAACCCAGAGGCTGGGTAAAAAGAAGCTGTTTGTGAAATAACGGAAGAGGCACAGGAAACGCTCTGCGCTCTGGCGGGAACTGAGCTATGAGTGTCATCATTTGTTTGTTCCCAGTGATGACACTTGCGTTCTCTTTCTCACAGATTTGGAGGCTTTTACAGCTGGGAGGGCTCAAGGTCAGCCACGTGGTCCTCTAGCGCCCCAGCCCTCACCTTCGAATACTGCCCAGCAGAGCAGCGGTAAGAATGTGAAGGAGGGGCTGGGGCTGGATTCCAGAGTATTGATCCTGGGCAGGCACTCAGATGCTTCTTCTCCTGGGTCCCACGCCACAGAGGACCATGATGAGGGTCAGTCTCTTTGGCCAGTTGTTCTCCTCCAGACTCTTGGAATTTTATTGGCCCTCCAAAGCAAATGGTGGGGAGGGTCAGGCTGGGGGCAAAAATGTAGCCCTGCAAGTTTTGCCCTTCCCTGCCCAAGAAGGAGGTGAAGCCAGCAAGGACACTGCCAGGACACAAGCCCTGGTGTCACCCCTGTTGATGTAGTTCCAGTTGTCTGGTACTTTCAGCATCACGAAGGCTCAAAATGCCATGCCTGGAACTGTCATCCTGATTTGTGTGTTCTCTACTCTGCCTGGCTTCCCGAGAGCATACCCATGAGGGAGGATGCTTGTCCATGCACTTTTACTGAACAAGTTTTTTTTGTTTGTTTGTGTTTGTGTTTTTGTTTTTTTAAGTAAGCTCTACATCCAATGTGAGGCTTGAACTCAGAACCCCGAGAACAAAGGTCACATGCTCTACTGACTGAGCCAGCCAGGTGCCCCTGAACACATATTTTGGACACCCTGCCAGGATGTGGAGAAACAAGGGTGAAAAAAGACATAGGTGTCCTTTGGAGCTCATGTCCCAGTGTGGGGCTCCAGAAGTCACTCCAGAGCTAATGGAAGTTGTATGTGGGTGAGTGGACTTCTTCCAGTTAACTGCTTCTGTCTTTCTGCATACGCTGATTTTTATCCCGAACTTTGTGTTTTGAAAAATTTCAAACCTACAGAAAAGTTACCGAGATTCACCAACTGTTTACATTTTACAGTATTTAGTGATTCTCTCTCTTACATACACACATGCATGCACTTCATTTTTCCTTTTTTCCCCTCTGAACCATTTGGTAATGAATTGAAAACATTATCAGATATCACTCCAAATATCCTAAATACCCTAAGTACAATGAACAAGGATATAAGGATATTATTTTAAATAATCAGAATACAATTATCATACTCAGGAAAATTAACATCATTATAATACTATAATGAGTCCATAATCAAATTTCTCCAAAGGACTGATAATGTCCTTGACAGCTTTTTTTTCCAGCCCACGATCCGATCAGAGATCCTGCACTGCATTTAGTTGTCACATCTCTATACTCTGCTTCTACTAGAACACTTTCACACTTCCCCGCCTTTTTAAATTCTGTCAATGTTTTTGAAAAGTCTGTTCCAAGCAGAATGTCCCTTAATTTAGATCTGTGCATCATTTCCTCGTTATTAGACTGAAGGTATATTCAGGTGCTCAAGATGTCTCCATTGTAAAAGGATGTTTTTTTCTTGTAATTAGTAAGTAACCTGAGAATGTGGAAACGTCTTGTTGTCCTACAGTCTTTCACCCCATGATTTTAGCATTCATTAATGATCCTTTCCTAAATCAGTTGCTACAATGGTACTTGCAAAATGGTTATATTTCTATCACTTAGCTGGCATCATTTGCATGTCCTGGTTTAAGCTTTCTGCATTTCTCATGAAGTTCTTGGCTTACAGATTTTTTTTTTTAAGATTTTATTTATTTCACAGAGAGAGATAGCGAGAGCAGGAACACAAGCAGGGGGAGTGGGAGAGGGAGAAGCAGGCTCCCCGCTGAGCAGGGAGCCCGATGTGGGGCTCGATCCCAGGACGCGGGGACCATGACCTGAGCTGAAGGCAGATGCTCAACAACTGAGCCACCCAGGCGCCCCCAGATGTTTTGTTTTTAACACAGTTGTGGTTACTGTGTGCCAGGCACAGCTTGCTTTATATCCATTATCCCCTAAAATCTTTGCAGCATGCCTTCAGGGAAGGATTCATCATCCTCACTGCCAGGATTAGTGGTTTAGTGACTTGCTCAGTGACTGAGCCAGGATTCAAACTCCCTCTTTTAACCACTTTGCAATATCGTCTCCGTGCATGATAATAATTTATTATTTTACTGTTCCTCAGTAACGCCAGATGTCACTTTTTTCAGCTGTCCAACGAGACTCAAAATGGGCTATTCTGACCACTCCCACAGGTCATTTGCAACATTCTGATGCCTGGCAGAACAAACAACACTGTGTGTGACCAGCCTGTGTGTGACCAGCTGGGACCAAGGCTTTGATGAGTTCTGCTTGCTTGAATGTTATCTTACTATCCACTTGGTCCACATACTTCATATTTTACAGATTACTCAGTGCTTTTGGTTTAATAGCTGACAGCATCCAGTTTTCTGGATCCTGCTGAGAAAATAACCCCAAACCCAACATACTCACTAAAAAATGGATGGACTCAAATGCATGCATATTTGTGGTGCAAATGTTGGATGTGTGATATTCTCAGGTTGGGCCGGAAGGGTGTTGACTGAGCGTCTCTGGGATCACGGCCTGTGCAAGATTTCAGAAGGCAGTAACACAGCCACCTCACAGGGAGCCTCCCACTGCTGAGACAACTGAAATTGTGCAATAACACACGGTCCTTCTTGTTCCTGGGGTCCCTAACCCTGTCTTGACAGGCCAGGAAACTCCTTTAAGCTCAAACTAACACACCCACAGCAGGATTGGGCAGGAACTGGGGCTTTCCAGTCTATAGCAGGATATTTTGCAATTGCAGTGATACCTTTTGCAACAGGGAGCAATTCTGAAGCATGGACTTGCCTTTTTTTTTTTTTTTAAGAGAGTAAGCAAGCAGGGGTGGGGGGAAGGAGGGGCAGAGGAAGAGGAGAGAGAATCTCAAGCAGACTCCCCACTGAGCTTGGAGCCCTACACTGGGCTTAATCTCGAAACCCTGAGATCATGACCCTGAGGCATGACCTGAGGTGAAACCAAGAGTCAGTCGCTCAACCAACTGAGCCACCTAGTTGCTCCAAGGCATGGACTTACTTGTGAGGTAGTGGCATTTCTAGGTCAAGAGAAGCTGAAAGAGGTTCCATTTTTTGAGGTTCCAGTAATTTTTTTAAAATGAAGAAATGTGGGGGCACCTGGGTGGCTTAGTTGGTTAAGCGACTGCATTCAGCTCAGGTCATGATCCTGGAGTCCTGGGATCGAGTCCTGGGATCGAGTCCCGGAATCAAGTCCCACAACAGGCTCACTGCTCAGGGAGTCTGCTTCTCCCTCTGACCCTCCCACCTGTCATGCGCTCTTTCTCTCTCTCATTCTCTCTCTCAACTAAATAAAATCTTTTAAAAATAAATAAATAAAATGAAGAGATGTGAAAAGACGATTATAGCTCTCAGGGTGACTTTTGAATGTTTGATTGAACAGCGGTAGTGGAGTGTCAATGAAATCTTTCTTGTACCTCTGTGACTGTATGTGTGCCCTTATTTGGGAACAACATGATCAATCTAAATCTATCGCAGCTGCTGCAAGCAGAGCTACTTCAGCCTCTGCTCTTATCCTAAGTAATGCACAGCCCAGACATCCCAACCTTAAATCCATGCCTGGGTTTCACTTTCTAACACATTGATTTTTGCATCACTTTGAGATTTTTTAAATCAATATGTATTAGTTTTATAAAAGAAAAGAATAGTTTTAAAAAAGTATTTTATAATTAGCTTAGCCTCCAAGGGGATATCAGTCCTGTCCCCACAACCGTCATGATGAGGTTTATGGTAGTTAAATATAGTACATACTGGTTATTGAGAGAGCCATAGGCAAGATCATGGAAGAGTTCCTGTGTTAATCCGGAGTTGGAAGTAATGGATCCCATTGTGACCCAAATTCTTCCTCACCCTCCAGTATATTGAATTTTAAGGGAGAAATCTGAGACTTTGAGAGGCTAACATCTCAATTTCAAAGTGAATTTCCAGGCAATGAACCTCCCACTGGGAAACATACTTGTAACTGGACTTTCTGAGAGCACACCAAGTTCTGGTGCAATCTCCAACCTCCTGAGCAGGATGGAAACGGAGAGAGGCAGCTTCCTAGGTGGACTTGACTTGTGGAGGTTGTACAGTAGTGGGGTCGGAACAGTTCCCGGATTGGTCCACCAGTGAGAGTTTCATTTGCAATATGGTAACGCCAAGCAAGAAGCTTTATGAGCTCTAAAGTGCTATACACATTATTTATTCTCATTGTTAAATCTAGACGGAGGGTAAGTGGGTGTTCATTTTACTCTTTAATTTTTTTTTACATATTTAACATTTTATAATTTAAAACACTGAAAAAATTTTGTTTTACTAATATTTCTAGGGACCCTTCTAGGAGGCTGGCTGTAGGCATACAGCCCCTCACCGCCAAAGGCCTACATGTTAGTGAAGGGGAATAACCCAGTTGCCTGCTCTCCCTTCCCTTGCACCCTTTGAGGTTTGATTTACATAATCCTGTCCCACTCGGATCTCCCTGTCCTTTTACCCGCGGCAGAGCTGCCCCGGGTGCTTCCGTCAATGCCTACTCAGTAAGTTTCGAATATGCACAAAGTAGTGGGGGAAAAAAAAAACGGGACTCCCAAGATCTAGGACGTGTGGCCTGGGCCAGTTACCCGACGTCTCTGAGTTTCCTGTCAAATGGGTGGTTTGGGAATTTCAATGAGATAATGTATGCTAAAGAGCCTGGCACCGTGGGTCAGTGTCAGCTAGGTCTTTTGATGCTCCAGCGCCTAGCGCAGCGCCAGGCTAGTCGTGGGCGGCGTCTGAGGGCCGGACACAGAATCCCCGCCCCCGCACAGCCGTCACCTCCGAG